ATATATATATATATATATATATATATATATATATGTATACACACATACCTGAAAGTAGAATACATGAAATTAGTGAGCAAAAAGTATACATTGCTCCCAATTCTGGGGCAACTTTAGAAATAGAATAAGCCATCCAATGTGGAATTACCAATGTAAGTAGTTAGAATATGAGTAAAAGCAAAAGGAGATTAAAAGATTAGAGTAGCTAATAAACAATGAAGAGTTAAATGGATCAGTAGGAGTCAGGTCCCCCGAAGTCCTGGAATAAAAGCTATGTCTTATGATATGGTTGAGTTTACATTGTAGGATTTATGTTCGATTTTCATGAAGCCAGTATAGAAGATACCAGTATTCATCTTGGGGATTCAAGTAAAAGTTTCACTACTGTGGAATGTGAGGAGAGAGAAGCATGCCCACTTCCTTCTACTCTTTGCCAGAAGGTTGACATAGTGCTAGTCTAATCATGGAGAGTTACTGGTAGACATGAAAATAAAGCTAAAGTTTTTTATTTGATATATATATTTTAAAATGAAATGTTCCCATTTACATTTTGTCTTTTTAGTCTATGAAATAATGTTTACTAAGAGAGAAGATTGGCAAAAAATAGAAAGAAGTGAGCTACCCAGTTTCTTCAGTGACTGTGGTCATTTCCCAACTCAGAAACAAATTGATGATACTTGGGACCTGGTCCATCAAGGTAAGTGGTTACTCATTTCTTCTTCTTTTATTTTTTCTTTCTTTTCTTTCCACTTCCTTCTTTTCTCTCTCCCAGCTTTTCTCAGTTGTTCTCTTCTTTTCTTCATTCCTTCTCTTACTTTTGCTAAACTTGTTTTATAAGTCCTTTTCCTCAAATTTCTTTGTATGTGATCTTAATATATGTGAAGGAAAATATGTGAAAAGTAGGTTAAAATAAGTTAATACAATACAGATTTTTGGAGGGAGATGGAAGAGATGGTTTTCATTTTCATAGTTTTTAAGTATTTTTGATATAAAGTAAGTTACATCAAACTGAGTATATTTTAAACTATTGTATTTTAAATACTGACGCTAGGAGGCTTTCCCCTGGATAATTAGATTTGATACTGGAGAACATAATTCAGTTAAAATATATAAACATTGTAAGCTATTTCAATACAATAGACTGTCACAGAAAATCATTTCTGAATAGTATATGAAAATATTGTTTTCAAAAATATTAATAATTTAAATGGAGCAGGATTTCTCTCTTCACTAAAGACTAATAAGGGGATGTAAATTGTCACAAAGGCATGAAAAAATCTCAATAAATTTTCCTTTAATTTTTTAAGATTCTTCTCAGCTTTTCTTTCTTTTCCTCCCAGCTTTATTGACTTATAATTGACAAATTAAAATGGTTTATATTAAAGATATAACGTGATAATTTGAGATACATATTCATTGTGTAATCACTACCACAACCAAATTAATCATATATCCATCACCATCCGTAGTCACCGTGTGTGTGTGAGTGTGAGTGCATGGTGAGGATGTGTAAGATCTATTCTTCTATCCTATTTCAGGTCATCAATACAGTATTCACTACAGTCACCATGCTGCACATTAGATACTTAGAACTTATTTGTCTTTCAAACTGAATGTTTGTATGTTTTGACCAACATCTCCTTAATTCCCTCCAACCCTCAGCCCTGGCAACTGCCATCCTATTCTATGTTTTTATATTAACTTTAATAGATTTCACATATAAGTGAGACTACACAGTATTTGTGTTTCCATATCTGGCTTATTTAACTTAACATAATGTCTTCCAAGCTCATGTTTATTAAAACAAATGACAAAATTTCCTTAGTTTTAAAGGCTGAATAGTATTCTATTGTGTATAATACCAAATTTTCTTTATCCATTCATCTGTTGATAAGCACTTACATTGCTTTCTTATCTTGGCTATTGTGAATAATGCTGCAGTGAGGGTACAGATACTTCTTTAACAAAATAATTTCATTTATTTGGATATATACCCAGTAATAGGATTGTTGAATCTTATGATAGTTCTATTTTTAATTGTTGATGGAAATTCCATATTGTTTAACATAATGGGTATACTAATCGACATTCTATTAACGGTGTACAAGGATCCTCTTTTCTCCACATCTTTGCCAATACTTGCTGTCCCTTGTCTTTTTAATAATAGTTATAATACCAGGTGTGAGGTAGTATCTCACTGGCATTTTGACTTACATTTCCCTGATGATCATATACCTCTTGGCCATCTGCATATCTTCTTTAGAAAAATGTTTATTCAGGTTTGTTGGCCATTTTTGAATTAAATTATTTGGGAGGTTTTGCTATTAAGTTGTATGCTTATCATTTTGGATATTAATTGTTTACCAGGTATATGGTTTGCAAATATTTTCTCCCATTCTGTAGCTTCTCTTTTCATTTTGTTGATTGTGTTTGTGGATTATTTGTTCTTTTTGCTGTTGAATTATTTTATTATTATTATTATACTTTAAGGTCTGGGATACATGTGCAGAATATGCAGGTTTGTTACATAGATATACACATGTCATGCTGGTTTGCTGCATCCATCAACTTGCCATCTACATTAGGTATTTTTCCAAATGCTATTTCTTCCCTAGCCCCTCATGCCCCGACAGGCCCTGATGTGTGATGTTTCCTTCCCCGTGTGCATGTGTTCTCATTGCTCAACTACCACTTATGAGTGAGAACATGTGGTGTTTGGTTTTCTGTTCTGGTGTTAGTTTGTTGATAATTATGGTTTCCAGTTTCATCCATGTCCCTGAAAGGACATGAACTCATCCTTTTTTATGGCTGCATAGTGTTCCATGGGGTGGATGTGCCACAGTCTATCACTGATGAGCATTTGGGTTGGTTCCAAGTCTTCGCTATGTAAACAGTGCTGCAATAAACATACATGTGCATGTGTCTTTATAGTAGAATGATTTATAATCCTTTGGGTTATACGGTAATGGGATTACTAGGTCAAATGGTATTTCTAGTTCTAGATCCTTGAGGAATCATTGCACTGTCTTCCACAATGATTGAACTAATATAGGTGAACGAATTTACACTCCCACCAACAGTGTAGAAGTGTTTCTATTTCTCCACATCCTCACCAGCATCTGTTGTTTCCTGATTTTTTAATGATTGCCATTCTAACTAGTGTGAGATGGCATCTCAATGTGGTTTTCATTTGCATTTCTCTAATGACCAGTGATGATGAGCTTTTTTTATGTTTGTTGGCTGCATAAATGTCTTCTTTAGAAAATGAACTGTTCATATCCTTTGGCTACTTTTTGTTGGGATCGTTTGTTTGTTTCTTGTATATTTGTTTAAGTCATTTATAGATTCTGGATATTAGCTCTTTGTCAGATGGATAGATTATAAAAATTTTCTCTCATTCTCTAGGTTGTTTGCTCACTCTGATGATAGTTTCTTTTGCTATGCAGAAGCTCTTATTTTAATTGGATCCCTTTTGTCTATTTTGGCTTTTGTTGCCATTGTTTTTGGTGTTTTAGTCATGAAGTCCTTGCCCATGCTTATGTCCTGAAGGATATTGCCTAGGTTCTCTTCTAGGGTTTTAATTGTGGTAGGTATTATGTTTAAGTGTTTAATCCATCTTGAGTTAATTTTTGTATAGTCAATGTAAGGAAGGGATCCAGTTTCAGCTTTCTGCATACGGCTAGCCAGTTTTCCCAACAACATTTATTAAATAGGGAATCCTTTCCCCATTGCTTGTTTTTATCAGGTTTGTCAAAGATCAGATGGTTGTAGACATGTGCTGTTATTTCTGAGGCATCTGTTCTGTTCCATTGGTGTATATATCTGTTTTGGTATCAGTACCATGCTGTTTTGTTTATTCTAGCCTTGTAGTATAGTTTGAAGTCAGGTAGCATGTTGCCTCCAGCTTTGTTCTTTTTGCTTACGATTGTCTTGGCTATATGGACTCTTTTTTGGTTCCGTATGAAATTAAGTATTTTTTTTTTCAATTCTATGAAGAAAGTCAATGGTAGCTTGATGGGGAAAGCACTGAATCTATAAATTACTTTGGGCACTATGGCCATTTTCATGATGTTGATTTTTTCTATCCATGAGCATGGAATTTTTATCCATTTATTTGCCTCCTCTCTTATTGCCTTGGGCAGTGGTTTGTAGTTCTCCTTTAAGAGGTCCTTCACATCCCTTGTAAGTATTCCTAGGTATTTTATTCTTTTTGTAGCAATTGTGAATGGGAGTTCACTCATGATTTGGCTCTCTGTTATTGGTGTATAGGACTGCTTGTAAATTATGTACATTGATTTTGTATCTTGAGACTTAAGCTGAAGTTGCTTATCAGCTTAAGGGGATTTTGGGCTGAGATGATGGGGCTCTCTAAGTATACAATGATGTCATTTGCAAATAGAGACAATTTGACTTTCTCTTTTCCTATTTGAATACCCTTTATTTGATATCAGTCTCTTGCCTGATTGCCCTGGCCAGAACTTCCAATACTATATTGAATAGGAGTGGTGAGAGAGGGCATCCTGGTCTTGTGCCAGTTTTCAAAAGGAATGCTTCCAGTTTTTGCCCATTCAGTATATTGGCTGTGGGTTTTGCATAAATAGCTTTTATTATTTTGAGATACATTCCATTGATACTTTGTTTATTAGAGTTTTTAACATGAAGGGCTGTTAAATTTTGTTTTCAGCTTTTCTGCATCTATTGAGATAATAATGTGTTTTTTGACATTGATTCTGTTTTTGTGATGGATTATGCTTATTGATTTGCATGTGTTGAACCAGCCTTGCATCCCAGGGGTGGAGCCAACTTAATCGTAGTGGATAATCTTTTTGATGTGCTGCTGGATTTAGTTTCTTAGTATTTTATTGAGGATTTTTGCATCAATCTTCATCAGGAATATTTGTCTGAAGTTTCTTTTTTTTGTATCTCTGCCAGGTTTTTGTATCAGATAATGCTGGCCTCATAAAATGAGTTAGGAAGGATTCCCTTTTTTTCTATTGTTTGGAATAGTTTCAGAAGAAATGCTAACAGCTCCTGTTTGTACCTCTGTTTGAAGTCAGCTGTGAATCTCACTGGTCCTGGACTTTTTTGGTTGGTAGGCTATTAATTGCTCCCTTAATTTCAAAACTTGTTATTAGTCTGTTTAGGGATTTGACTTCTTCTGGTTTAAACTTCCGTAGGTGTATGTGTCCAGGAATTTATGCATTTCTTCCAGATTTTTTACTTTGTTTTTGTAGAGGTGTTTATGGTGTCCTCTGATGATAGTTTATATTTCTGTGAGATCAATGGTGATATCCCCTTTATCATTTTTTATTGTATGTATTTTATACTACTCTATTTTCTTCTTTATTAGTCTGCTACCAGTCTATTTGTTGATCTTTCAAAAACCAGCTGCTGGATTCGCTGATTTTTTTGCGGGGATTTTTGTGTGTGTCTCTGTCTCCTTCAGTTCTGCTCTGATCTTAGTTATTTCTTGTCTTCTGCTAGCTTTTGAATTTGTTTGCTCTTGTTTCTCTAGTTCTTTTAATTGTGATCTCAGGGTGTTGATTTTAGATCTTTCCTATTTTCTCTTATGGAACTTTAGTGCTATAAATTTCCCTCTACACACTACTTTAAATGAGTCTCAAAGATTCTGGTATCTTGTGTCTTTGTTCTCATTGGCTTCAAATAACATCTTTATTTCTGCCTTCATTTCATTAT